CCAATGAAAACATCTAATAGATCAGTCAAATTTCTCATCCGTTCGGGTCAGTCCATCGATTCGAACCCTTTCAATGCCCTTACTCACAGCTGCAGAGATCCCGCCAAACCCATTTTGGCCTCATTTCCAGCTAACCAACTTCACATAACTGATCTACCGCTTCTAGAATTGGACTCCACCTCATAGTCGTTCATGGTACTCTCTGCACCTATCCCACACCTGGCTAAATTTTCCGCAACAACAAACTTCCTCCTTTCCTTCAAAACCCTAGCAGCAAACCTGACCCAACCTCACATTTCTCCGACTCCATGCTTCACGAATGCCACAGACCATCCGTCACTCTCCAGGTACTTGACCTCACGCAAGCCGACATGGTCTTTTATTGGACCCTCGAGTTGCTAAACCCATGCCAACCTCCCCCTGCTGCTAACCAACCAAACTCCAAATTATAATTCTCTATCGTGATATCCTTCTCTTCACCCTAACCATATTTCACCACCTTACTAATCATCTACATCATCTGCAGCTCTCCAAATCAACTTCACCATACTTGTCATCTGATCCAATCTCTTAGCTGCAGCTCAACCAAGACAGGTAAAATCTCTCTGTGATTCTGTTACCCTTCGTAAAAAATGAGAAAAGAAAAAAGAAATTAAAAAAAGGGAAAAGAAAAAAGATAGTAAAAAAAGGAAAAAAATAATATACAAAAAATAGAAGAGTTTCAAAATAAAAAAGGAGCCATTTCTTTATGTGCCCCGATCATCATCGACGTTGCCCACTTTTCCCCCAGCAAAGGTATAATCTCTCAAACTCAAAATCTCATATTCAATGCTTGCAGTGCATCTGAAAATCACCTATACACGCTTTTCTCTAGTGTGGTGAGAGGGAATCTATTGCAGAGTTTGAGTCGAGGCGGGTAGGCCATATGTGTGCTTTTTGCTATCATGGTGAGAACAATTTAAGTACCCATGAGCTTGCCTCAGTGTCGGCGGGGAAAGGACTGTGTAAATCTTTCAAACAGGTGCCCCTGAAGAGCCATACATGCCTTCTCTCTAGCGTGGTGGGACCAAAGATTATGGCCATGGTGCCCCCCCAACACCTAATAACACATTTTTTTCTTAACATGACTAGAAGGCTCAGCTCCCAAGGAACATAACTTGTAACCACATGGAACCCTACATTAAATAAAAGATGCACAATCATATTAAAGAAATACAAACACTAAAAGAATTGGATCATTCAAATGAACAAAAATGTACGAACAAAGACTTGTGGTGGATTAGGAATAATTCCTACATCTCATTTGCAAGTAATAATCAATATGAATTTATAATTTGATTGCAAATGATGTTGCAAAACTTTTAATTTATATATGAACAACATAAAACTTGCAATGCACACATTAGTCTGCTTGTGAGAAACAACATCAAACGATCTTGTAATGCAAAAGTTCCCTTTGACCGATATTAACTAATTTGCAAACACTTGCAGTAGTTCCCATGAACACTGAAATACATGTAAGCAAATGCAGTAATTCATCGATCATCGTGTATAAGGAAATTGATGACGAATGCAGCAAATTGTCAATCAACAGGCAAGGTGGAATCGACAATGAATGAAACTCACCTGATGATCAGCGATAATTTGTAGATAAACACACATAATGCTTGCATAAATACAACAACCCATTTGTAGGAATGATATTTGCAATTATTACATAAATAGAAGACAATAATGAATGCAACTGTATGTTCATTAATAGAGTTTGGGAGATATGCAACAAGTATAATCACCATCCAGTAGTCAAAAGTAACATGCAAATGGACACATTGATCTACTTATTAGTAGTAATAACAAATATGCTGCAAGAATGACAAGTTCCCTGTGAACATAAATACATGTGCAACATCATATAGCTTGCAAAATGAATGCATTAATCTGCTGGTAAACGACGACAATAGATAAGCTGTGAATGTAATAATCTCCATATCTTCAACATCATCTGGCTTGTTCAAAATAAGTCGATTGGCAAATGAATACACCAATCCACTTGTAAACGATGACAATTGATGAGTTATGAGTGTAACCGTTTCAATGGATTGCATATACATGTAGAAGTCTCCCATGATCACAAAGTTAGTATGCAAGTAAATGTAGCAACTTGCCAATCAATGTATGTAAGGAGAATCAGTGATGAATGCAATTCACTGGCAATCAATGTTAACTTGCAGAGGAACATATCTACTTGTCTGCATGCAATGAAGCTTCTTACAATCATACTCAATGTGACAAGCGATAGATACTACTACACCCTCACAGTCAATGTCAATCAACCATTTAGTGAATATACAGAAGCTCCTACGAGCCATTGTAGGGGGACTCCTCATTTATACATTAGTCCACCTATGAGTGATGGCTAGAACCATGCAACCAACATAACAAAATTCCATGCAAAACACTGATGAAGATGGAAGATCCCCATAGGCGCAACAATAATAATTAGTAACAGACAATGGATGTTATGACATCCTTGCAAACAATCACTATTCAACATTAAGCAAATACACTGACCTCCTCCAAAGTAAAGGTAAATGACATACGACAAAGGGAAGTTCCTATGAACCACTACAAGAGACTCGTTATTGCACGATAGTAACCTGCATAAAGTAGTAAATAACTCATGAACTATAATGCTAGGTAACCAGATTTGCAATATGGATATAAGTAGACAGAATGTGTCTACAACTTTCAAAATGAAGTCATGTGCACTTGCTAACGTGGATTATTTATATAACTTACTATAATTAATGCTATAAAAAAATCTCATGCATCAAAATACGCACCGGCACATTGCATTAACATGCAAAATGCATCATGAACATAGGTCAATATATATTATGCAAGTGGTACGTACAACATAGGCCTACTATGACTACATTTAGCTAATATTGAATAAACATATTGCAAGTGTCCTCACCTAACATACAAATATACGAGATGCATATACATTATCACGTGCAAAATATAAATGACAAAATATTTAAAGATGCTTTTCAAATTCTCACAAAAATTCAAAACTCAATGATGTTAATATTTTAAATTGAAATAAATCATCAAAATACTTAAAACAGAAATGCCCATCCAACTTTCACAATAATTTATCGAGCTGGACAAATATGAAAAATTACTTCAGCTCATAAGGAGCAAATGTCTAGTCGAGAATATCACTAAAATTCATTCTCAATTCATCTATTACCAGTAAGGATGTGGCACGCGTCTTTTAATTGGTGGTTTCACAGCCAAATGACACAACATGTAAATGTTATGACCGGGACCATCTGAACTGGTGGTATTGCTGCCAAATGATACTGCTAAATTACGGTTATGGTTAGAGTGTGCATGTTCAATAATTGATTCAAATCCTTTAGATATGAATCAATAAAATATAATTGATATGGCACAATGCCCTCTATTTATGAAGGTGGATTCAAATTTGTCCCCTTAAATAAATATTCACCCCATATCTACAAGGTACCCTTGGACGAAACAACTTATGACTGCCAACAATGATCCTTCTGTCAGGTTGGGTCGACTACCTACTATGACTAACTAGACTAGGGACCATGATGACCCCTGATGATGGAAGCATGGGATATTGATCGTGTCTATCATCACTCCCTCCACTATTTGCTTTAAGTGCATGGTGGTAAATTTTATTTTTAAATATAAATTTTTTAAATACCAAATTATGCTGCTAATATACACCATTTACCTTGTATCTGTTTGACTACTATCCTTAATTGGAAGTTCTCTCTCTCTACTAAGAGGGATAATTAATTATAGGGGCTTGTGCCTATAGGAAACCTGAACTCAGATCTTAAAGTCCTCGCAAAACGAGGGCAAAATTTTCGGGTAATGTCTTATTTAAAACCAATTTGCCTTCTGAAAATTTATCTTGGAACTTATTTGTTAAAACTCTCCTCGATGATCTGAAAAAAAAAAAAAAAGAGTCAACAAAGATGCCAGGGCACGAATTTTTGAAGTCCACAAGCTTAAAAAAATTTTGCTTATGATTTTTTCCTTAAGAAATTTGAACATGTTAAAGAGGTAGACATATTTGATTTTTAAATGGAAATAGATATAAAATTGAATCCTAGCAAAGTGCTTTAAATATTTTAACTTTTTGAAATGAATGGTCTCACATATTATATAGATAGCTTAATTTCTTATGATTATGTAGGATTTAAAGTTGTCATTATAATTACTTGACTTGATTTAGGTTTCGTTTGAGATGACATTTTTATTATTACTAAAAGCAATTTTTTAATATAAAAATTAATTTTTACTAAAATACTGCTTTAAGAAACAATAATAAAGTTGTCATAGACGAAGCCTTATTTAAATCATACTTAAATCCCTATACTACCACCAAATAGCCCCATAAAGTTAAACCCTAAAACATTAGAATTGGTGTTATTGAACCAGTTACCGTCGTAACAATTAATATGTTGATGAGGTTGAGCAATGGTTATATTCTTATTATACCACAACAAATTATTACACAAAACCAAAATGCACCATCTCCTCATCTTGACAAATCAATGCTAGAGGTTTTATCAAGTCAAACCTATTCATGAACCGACAAGGTTCAACATGATATATAGCTTATGAGCCAAATTTTATAGCTATTGAGCAAAGTTTGGCCAGCCTTCTTTGTAAAAATGAGAAATACCGCTCTGTGAAGACTAATACCATGCAAATACCGAGTTGTACCGAGTTTTTTTACAACTCGGTACAACTCGGTATTTGCTCGGTATTGTTTGCTCAGTATTGATTATTGACGAGCAAAATCGATCATTATCTAACAATACGGAACAATCTTAGGTCCTGATCGGGTTGTCGGAATTCACGGTAAATAATGAAAACGAGAGGCTCAATTCCGGCGGCCGAACTTACAGTTGCGTAGGTTGACCGGACCAAATAAAAGTTCCTCAAATTCGGTGAATGAGACTAGTTTACAACGATACTCAAAGCCCCTCTCCCACGAAAAATTATTACGTCCTTTGTGCGGCAACTTCTCAGGCGAGCAACCACTGTCACCGGAACCCTAAGCAAGCAACAATTTCTCCATCTCGTTTATCCCCTCTCAAGCGTCCCTCCATCACCTCTGCGGCTTCTGTGATTTCTGTCACATATCGTCGGATTTTCCGCATCCAGGTTGGCTCCATATTCTTATTTAGGGTTTACCATTATTATTTTTTATTCTGGTTCTTCTCACCTAGATGAGTTATTTTTTTTCCATTTGATCCGATCCTAAAACATCTTCTTTCTGAAAGTCTACATTTTGAGAGCTGAAGATGATTAACTGGCGTTGCTTTTTGGCTGTTCTATTATTTGGTTGCACCTTGCAGTTTTCGTGCTTGATTTCCATTCCATTCTTGCTACTCTTTTACCCGAGAGAGATTTTAGTGAAATGAATGAATATATATGAAATTGTTACTTGGGTTAATTTTCATTGTGCGCCGAAATAGGTCGAGCGCTTCCATTCGAGAGTCTTTCTGTTTTCCATGCTTTGGTCGGCATTTCATGTTGATAAAAAAAAGTCATCTCAAACAAAGTGAAATGTTCACAAGGTTGAGGTGATCCCCTGCTTCTGTACTGTTTGCAGCTTCTCTGTTTCAAGACTTCAGCAGCTTTGTTCTTGATCTCTGCACCACATCTGGCTGGCGATCCCCTTATCCACCGAGAGATAGGGATTCATCAACTTTTTAATTATTTTCTGATGAAAAGGTGGGACTTAATGTCGTTATATTTGCATAAAGTAAGAAACATGCATATGGCGGGTTTTTTAGTTAGTTATGAACATACCATTGATATATGAGAACTTCTTAGCAAGACATTGCATGCGTGGACAAATGTGGACATTGATTCCTGCTGAATTGGTCAGGAAGAAAAAACAGGTGAAAGAAAAGTGACATGGGTTGCCAGTAAGCCTTTCTTTCTTAGCTCACTAGACGGGGAATATGCATAGAGTAGAAAAAGCTTGAAGCAACTAGCAATGCTTCCATCAATCAAGGAAAGTTTGACCAACCAACCTGCCACCGTGGTGGATGGTAGTATGTTAAAACATTGATTTATGAGCACTTCTTAGTTAATATTTTTCGTGGGATGACGTTTAAATAATTAATAGCCATGAGTGTGATTGTAGTGGTCTAACTAAATAATGTTTTCGAATTGGTAATATAATTTTGGAAAACATTCCTAAAGAAAAGTTATTTTTAAACTTTTGAAATTGTGTTTTGTCTTTGCACTTGATGTCCCAATCCTTTCGCTGTTCCTAACAGTCACATATGAGATGAATGAGAATTCAGGGTATTTGGCTTCTCTTGCTGCAAATTTATCTAATTTAACTTTTTCAGTCTAGTTGCTAAATCTAGTTTCTTGAAGCAACCTTTACTAAACTATTGAAATGTATCCAAATATTTGCATGATTGTGCGATTTATTATTTTCCTTTTATTTTCTTGTTGTAAAGTATTTTTTGTTAATAACACTTTAAGAGAAGGAAATTAATTGGGTAAATCTGTTTAGTGAGAAGTTTTGTTTAATGGGAAAATGTGTAAATCTGCTCCACAGCCAACGTTGTTTAGTTTTTCTGCTGGAACTGAGCTTTGGAATGAGTTTACGTGTGCTGTATAGGCAACCTTAGGAAAAGTTGGCTTATCATTAACATTGGTAATTTCTTGATTAGGAAAATTCATGGAATTGATTTATTTCTAGAGAGCTATGAATTTACTTTCTGAATTGAATTTTCAACTTCAGTTCTACTCCTTGCCCAAATAGTATTGTTTTCTAAGGCTAATGGATTGATAAATTTGGAAAAATTATTTTTTCTTGTTTCTTTTAATTAGGAACATCTGGAACAAAGTTGGATGGAATTCTACGATTTGATATGCCCCAAGCATTTGCTAGAGGCATGGTGGGAATGTAGAGGAAGACTTAAGGTTGCTCTTGGAACCTTGTAACAAAGATTTTGCAATGAGTCCTGGGGATTGCCCTACAGACAACCACCCCTCCCCTCTCCTTATCGCATGGTCATCTCATTTGTTATCTTTCCATTTTGGATATCCTTGCAAGCAAGCAAGGACCATTTCTAGTTACATAATTTCCTTATGATCACTTCTTCCTTATTATTCTCAAATTGAGACATGAAACCTGTATATTGAAATACGAGTTGCCTGACCATGCAAAAATGCTTGCTTATATTTTTATTGAGTGGCTAAAAGCAAAATCTTGGTGGGAATTCAGAAGTTTCCTGTTTTCATTTTTACATCTCTTTTTCTTATACAATCAGTTTCCCAATAAGGCACCTACATCGTGCATATACCCACTATACTTATGACATACTTTTCTCTTATACAATTGCAGGTTGAATAATGTCTTCACAAGTTTTGGTAGCACAGGAGGCACAGGAGGTCCCAGCTCCTTCCATGCAGTCACAAACTGCTGAGTCACCTATTCTAGAAGCTCCACAAGGTTCGCCGCCTTCAAATCCTTCCTGCATTCCTGCCGCAGCTGGAGGATCAGGTAGTAATGTTGCAGTTCCAGTTACAGACCCTCCAAATATAAATTCTGGCCCAGCAGAAGCAGTAACCGTATCCCCTACCACGAGCTCATCAGCTCAAAGGGCTACTCATGGTATTGCAAGTGACTCATCACAAGATCCTGTTCGGGCAAAATTTGTTACCTCACATGGCTATGTTGTCCCTCCACCTTCTTTTTCTTACAGTGTATTTCCTAGAGTGAGCTCTGCCTCTGGGATCCCACAACAAACTTCGTCTGCTCCTGTTAGTTTTTTTACTTGGGCTACTTTTTGTCAGGCTTTGTATTCTACCCTTGAGTTTCTTATCGCTGGTTTATTTGTATTGTTTTTGGCGCAGGCTTTAAAACTAACTCCACAAATGTCTCCTGCTGCTCTACAACCGCCAGTCCCTGGGCAGTCCTTAGGAAATAGACCGTCTTTTTCATACAACATAGTTCCACTACCTAATGCTAGCTCTGCTTCTGGTCAGCAGTTTCAACCCCCCGCTGTAATTCTCAAGTGCTTTTAATTCTTTAATATTTGCTGCATATGCTTCCTCTCTCTAATATAGATAAAAAAATGTCCTCCTAACGAAATTATCTATCTCATTTTATTATATCTATGTCTTATCATCAGGTGAACAATCAAAGGCAGTTGTTGATTGGAAATTCTGCCCCACCTCCACCACCATTGGCTACTGCATGTTTGCAGCCTCCAGTACCCCGCCAACCTATTCGCCCTAATGCATCCATTTCTGCAACTGTGCCACAGAATTTTCCACCACCCATGCAGTTTCCTGTTCCCCCTCCTAAGGGCCAGCTATCACCTTCAACAAACTTTTCTTTTGGTGGGGGTTCCCAAACAACGACAGTAGAGGCCTCTGTTAAGATCTTGCAATCCAGCACAGTATGTTTCTTGGATATTTATGTAATTTAACTGATGTTTTTTCTTATAAATCTACAGTTACTCTGAAGTTTCTCTTTTAACTAAAAGGTCATCAATGATTTGTATGTTTGCAGTCTGCCTCTGACACAGTTTCTGTGGATACTGACATAACTTCAGCATCAACTGGTTTAGATTCAAAATTGTCTCATGATATGCGTACAAGTTCATCCGTAGGCTCGACAATTTCTCCTGTTTCTAATGCGTCGAGCATGTTACCTCCAACTGGTTCTTTGATAAATGATCGTCTTCCAATGGTTGGAACTTTTACAGGTAATAATCTGCCTAAAGCACCTAATCCTGTTGCTGTTCAGCCAGCAAACCCCCCGGGGTCTTCATCAGCAACAATGAGACCTATTCAGCATAATCAAGTTCCCGCACCATCAACTCAGCCTTCCATTACAAATCCAACACCACAAAATGTTCCTCAACAAATTTATCCACATTTTCCATTAGTGCCTGCACAGATGCCTCCTCCTCATGCTCCTTGGATGCCTCCTCAGCCTGCTGGGTTACAATGTCCTCGGCTGCCCCAATATCCAGCTGTACTTCCTGGTCCTTTCCCCTTCTCAGTGAGAGACATGCCACCACCCTCGGTTCCTTCTCCTGATGTTCGGCCTCCTGGTGTTTCCCATGAGGTGAACCGTGAAGAAGCGCTTACCTCAACACCAGAGTCATCATTCCCTGTAAGTAATACTGGAGCAGGATCACCGCCCTCTGATGCTGGTATGCTATTTTTCAATGAAATATTTGCTTTTTGTTGTATTTTAGTTTTTTACATTTATTTATTGATGATTCTTTGTGTGCAGATTTTGAAAAGGAAGCTAATGATATCCAGGAAGATGGTAACAGTAAAAGTGAAGAATTGGATGCTTGGACAGTGCATAGAACTGAAACAGGTGTTTTATACTACTATAACACTATTTCAGGAGAATCTACTTATGAAAGGCCTTTAAAATTCAAAGGAGAGGTAATGTACTTATGATTTGTCACGCCTTACATGAAGTAATTTAGTGTCATTTTTGGTGAAATTGTTATTTTTATCTTGTAGTTTGTATGTTATCCTCTCTTTTCTTCATGCAGACTGAGAAGACTGCGCTTCAGATTATTCCAATCTCGTGGTATGTATTTAATGCACACTTTGGTGACCATCATACTGCTAATCACATATGAGAAACTTAATGAGTTCCTTATTTTGGTTGGTTATTCATAGTTGCTTACCATTATTGTTAATTCAAAGATTTCTTTTCTTAGGTTTCATTTTGCTATGATTATAATTGTAGTTATACCTAATTTGATTGTGTGAAGTTAGCTGATTAGGGGAAGTTGCTTGTCTGGAATATAATCATTTATTATTGCAAACTCCTTTTAAAAGTTAAAATAAAGTATCTTTTATAAGCTTGCATGGTGAACAGAGAGAGAAAAAGGATTCTGATCAAAGGTCGTCATAAAATGTTCATTGATAGCTTCAATTAGTTATTATATTAAATGTATTGGCTTAAAGGATAAAGTACTTCGTAAGAACAGTAAATGTTTTCACTGCCTCAGGTAGAACCAAGTGCTTTATTTCATTATTTTTGTGTTTTATTAAACATTTTTCGCCATGCATATTTGTAGAAACATCCCTATACTTCACCCTTTTTGATTTAAGGGTTACTTTTAAATTAAAGTCTTTATGTTGTTGTTGTTAGTAACTTTTAAATGAACCTTATAGCTTCCTCAGGTAGGGAGGTGTCCAACGTGGTATGGATTATGTAGGTGATATATCAAGGTAGTCCTGAGTTTTGTAATGATCGTGTATGAGAATTAAGAATAGTTTTGTTTGGCTGTTAGTAATAATTGTAAAACTTAATGTACCAGTTCCATGTTTACCTCAGCCTTTAATGCTATTCAATCATTTATAAATTATATCCTTAGCTCACTTTGTCTTTTGGTTAACATAACTTAGCCTAAGATGAAGATCATGAGGGCAATTCTCTTGACATTTGGCTATTGGAAACTCTTAAATATGGATCATATTAGGAATGTGTAAAATTTGCTAAACTGACATTGAAACACATACGGGATTAATTTGAAATGCATATCTAACAATTAATATAGATCTTAATCTTTATAGTAATGCTACATTCTCCAAATCCTAGCCCAAAAAATGATGAGTTGGCATGCTTACTTGACAAAAAATGATCGTGTGCAGAAGTGGGAATTAAGTTTTCAATTCACTCATTTTCTCTCAAAATCTCTCAGTGCAGAATTGCATTTCTCTAAAATTTGATACCAAGAAAACGCAACAAGGTATACAATTGTTGAAAGCTTTTCCGCCAAAGTAAAATCATCAAAATCTTTATGACATGTTAAATCAAATGTTAACAATACAAAGCAATACAAGATGTATATCAATTTCTTTCCAACTATCAAGAAACAAAGAAAGTTTGATGCATACCTGCTGAAGAATTAATAAATAATTGATACGAAATCTTGCATACTAAACAAGTTCTTGACCAAATATCTTGGAAGCGTCCAAACATTACTTTCAACATAACAGAAGAAATACAAATTAAAAATCTAAATAATATAAGTGAACAGTCAAGTTAGTCATAAAATGACGCTCTAAATAAAATAAGACATAATACAAGTAAAAACCAAGCAATGATGTTCTAAGGCAAATTAGTGGACAAATTCACCTGCACATGTTTCACAATACATACTAATTTTGTCAAATATACGAGTCTGGAAATAGTCCATGGTAGTTAAATTCAGTGTAATAGGGGAACATATCCTTGTAACACAACGCATGAGGAAAAAAGGCGTGAGAAAAGGTTGATGAGGTGTATAAATAGATAGGAAAATTTGTGCGGGTGAATGAAAGAAGCCTTTCTACTTAATTGTTGATGGAGGGAGGGAAGAGCGGAAAATTGACTACACCATAGAGAGAGATGGAGTTAATCACACATGAATCGGGCATGGGATTGGAATGAGGAAATTTATGTTTGAAAGTTCAAACTGTTAGAACGAAATTAGAAGAGTAGAGTGTTTGGTTGCCTTATATCAATTGATGGAGTGTGCACATTATGATTGCTACATGGATATTGCATAGCTTGCTTCTTATGGAGTGGTCTTCTTCCACCCCTCCCATCTTATGCAAAGTGTGCGAGTTTGTTTGGCCCCACTTCTTTTTAGGACTACATGTTTCATTGTGGATTTAAAAATGCTGATTTGGAATTTAGTATTCTAGATATTATTTTAACATACATATTGTTGACATTATTAGATGGACTAATCAACAAGCTTAAGGTTTTATTGATGAATTGCAAGGCATTGAATGCTCATCTATATGATTTAAAAAGTAGTATGGGATTCCACCAACCTCTTATCCTAGCCGTTCAACTTTGAATTCTAAGGGTTGCTTAGAACTCTAAGAATTAGAATTCAAAGCATAATTTTTTTTAAGGAATATATTATAAGTTGAACATAGATTTATGAAATATATAAAAAGTACTAAGAATATCAGATTATTTTTTCATGGTTATCATTAGAGCTGCATTGTATCTAGAAATTTTCATAGATCTTATACATGCTGATAAAGTTATGTTTGATTGATAAGCCAAGCTATTTGAGCATAAAAGCTCATCGATATATATAATTTTTAATTCCTTGTTGATATTTTTAGTCACTCAATATATCCTTTTAGTCTTTCTACTTTATTTTATCTATTTTACTTGTATTATTTTATTTTCTGCATATTTTTATAATTACTAAAAATTTGTTTATAATCTGTTTTTTTAAAACTTATGAACAGAAACTATAATTTATTGTATATATTCTTTATATTTATGTCATACAATAATTTAATTGATAATTATGTCTTATAATTATAATATAAGTTAAAAATAAATTTTGTTTTTTATTTAATTCAAAATTAGCTATTCATTTATTTATCCTTTAAATTTTGCCAAAAGAATCAAAATGTTCTTTTTTATTTTGCATATTTTTAAATAATTACTAATAAATTGTTTATAAATTGTAAATGAGAAATTGTATTTTTAAAACTTATGAAAAACTATAATTTATTGTATTTATTTTTAATAATTATGTAATACAATAATTTAAGTGATAATTATGTCTTATAATTATAATTTAATTTTAAAATAAATTTTATTTTTTATTTAATTCAAAATTTTCTTTTCATTGATTTATCCTTTTTAAATTTTGAGGAAAGGATCAAAATTTTCTTTTTTTTCTATTGCATATTTTTAAATAATTACTAATAAATTTTAAATGATAAACTGTATTTTTAAAACTTATGTGCAAAAACTACAATTAAATGTATTATTTTTAATAATTATGCCATACAATAATTTAAGTGATAATTATGCCTTATAATTATAATTTAAATAAAAAAAATGTGATTTTTTATTTAATTCAAAATGATCTTTTTTTTTTTTAATTTATCCTTTAGACTTTGAAAAAGGATAAAAAATTGGTCCAACCATATAAATTGGAGGTTACAATTGTTAGAAAAGCCATAGGATTTACAAATAACTTGTAACAGTCCAAACTCTTAACTATTGAGATATTGTCCGCTTTGGCTTAAGAGCCTTACGGTTTTGTACTGTTTGTGTAACTTCCTAGGCTCAGAATCTCTTCGAGACGAGCACGCTTAACTATGGAATTTCATAAATGAAATTCTAACAATTACATCAAAAGACACGTCAATGTTTAAGAGTTTAGCTTCTTTTATTTAAGAGGTTTCACAATCTCCCAACTTAAGTAACTGACGTCTTCGTTAGTATCTTTATCCAAGAATCATTCTCCCATCAAATAGTATTCTAGAAGTGGCTCCTACAAGTTCAAGTGGTGACTCCCGCCGTGTAGAATTTTGTCTCATACAAGGTTTACGAGGTGGATACCATGGCATAACACTTTGTCTTATATAGCTCTAGAATCCTATCTGCCCGGTGGATGATTCTGGTATAAAGTTGTTTTTAAAATCTGATCATGTTGTTCTTAATAACACGCAAAATAACATTCAAGTTTTTTTATTGTTTTCAAAATATGAACTTCCAACTATTTGACCTCTAATGTCATGATGGTCGGCCCCAAGCTAGTCGTATGCTAGCCCCTTGACAACTACTTGTGAAACTTGCGTCGAAGCTGATGTCTTCTTGGTCTAGTTCATTAGCATCTCCAGTTGTGGTGCCACTATACTCTTACAAACTGTAAAATAAATTAGTTTATGCGATATTCAATAAAAATAAAATTAAAAATAACCTATAATTAAGATATCAACCATATTTTTCAAATCAAAATATTAAAAAAAAGTGATCCCAAATGTTCCCTAAGCTTTTAATATATGTTGATATTATGTTTAAGCTTCTTGTTCTCTCCTATATTTGATCTCTACATTTCTTAATTAAATTGCTCTCCAAACATTATTAATATTATAGTCTATGAGTTGCTAATTTCTAAATCAGATGATACTTAAGATTTAAAAATTAAAATTAAAATGCTCTCATATGTAAAATATATTTTATATTTAATTTTTAAATTTTAATGATATTAAAGTATTATAAATGTAAATTATTTTAAATAAACAAATTATATCATGATTATGAATGAAACAAAATTGTTGAAAAACGATTAAACACGTGCAATTTTAGCAGTAAACATAAATAGTCTTACAAATTAATTGCTAAAACACAGTTTTCTTTGGACAATGAATGGATATTTAAACAGATTTCAATAGGGGAGTTACTTGTAAATAAATTCGAGTTAGATAAAAATGATTTGCGATGCTTGTAATCAAAATTGAATTTGAACCATGCAAAATAAAATTGAGTTTTACTGATTTTTCATGATTCATGCCCTTTGTCATGATTTATGCCCTTTGTCATGATTTACCCTTCATAAAGAAATGGTGATAGTGATGTGGCAAAATGTGAAAATTGTGGAATAATCATAAGAAGCCAACTTAGTAGCAAAGACAGCTATTAACGGGACAAGAATAAGAGTACATGCTGAAGATCAATATTAAATGTTCCTTATTTTATTTTTTTCACAATCATGTATTTTGTGTGTAAAAGATTTATTGGGTTGTATTTATCATGAAAAAGTCATTCATAAA